GTCTAATCCCTAAAGACATAAAAGTAGAATTACGCAAGAAATTCAGCTGCGACTGAAAAAGGTCACAGAGACATAATGCTTTGTAATCTCTTACCTAGTTCTTTCATTGTGGCTATGGTAACCTTGGCTGCTGAGCGGGAATGTACATTCCTTTAAGATAAAAGAATGGACTGAATTATGAGCGTTAATGAAACTACAAAATGAACAGTCAGTTCAGGATGTACAATATATGTTGCTATGCCAAGTAATGGTAAAAAGTAGCAAACCATGTAATCATTTCTGAGCTGCTTGAATGATTTACTGCTACTCTCCAATAGAAAGTCATGTTGCTACTCACACTGGCAAATCCAGTTCTTTAGATATTTCAAGTTGTTTTATGAAGACTTTTATCTGCTCATCACGCTCTTGAGCAGTATTTGCAAACCAGGGGGTAAAATCAAGACCAATCTGTGAAGAGGAAAAAAATATTAGCAAGCAATAGATCACATTATGTAACAAGCAGGTGAACTACAATACTGAGACTCAAGATTTAAAATCAACATTAGAAATGTGAGGCCTAGCTTCCCCAGTCTTGTACGATTTTCATGTTTTTTTATTTTATTATTATTATCCCCAGACCAACGGTTCTCAACCTTTTCGATTCCAAGGCCCTCCCATTGTATATAACAATATTTGAAGGCTCCATAACTTTGTAAGGATTAAAAAAAAAAAAAGTCTTTACAATTTCTACCTGATAAAATATGGAGTTAGAAGATTTTATTAATTTAGATTCTAGCTCTACAAAAAAAATATATATACACACTACCAGTCAAAAGTTTGGGATCAGAACAATGATCATCAGATCATTTCTTATGCTCATCAAGGCTGCATAATTTATTTGATCAAAAATACAGGAAAAAAATTAATATTGTGAAATATTATATGATGTAAAATAATGTTTTTCTATTTTAATATACATTCAAATCTATTTTATTCCTGTGATGCAAAGCTGAATTTTCAGCATCATTACTCCAGTCTTCAGTGTCATATGATCTTCAGAAATCATTCTAATATACTGATTTATTATCGGTGTTGGAAACTGTTGTGCTGCTTCATATTTTTTTGGAACCTGTGATACTTTTTTCAGGATTCTTTGATGAATAGAAAGGTAAAAAGAAGAGCATTTATTTAAAATAGAAATCCTTTCTAACAATATACACTACAGTTCAAAAGTTTAGGGTCAGGACATTTTTATTCTTTCTTTTTTTGAAAGAAATTAAAACTTTTATTCAGCAAGGGTGTGTTAAATTGTTAAGAAGTGATAGCAAATATTTATATTGTTAAGGTTTATATTTTGAATAAATGCTGTTCTTTGTAACTTTTTATTCATCAAAGAATCCTGAAAAAAGTATTGCAGTTTCCCAAAAAAATATTTGGCAGCACAACTGTTGCCAACATTGATAATTCTAATAATAAATCATCATATTAGAATGATTTCTGAAGGATCATGTGACACTTTATACTTGGAGTAATGGCTGCTGGAAATTCAGCTTTGCATCACAGAAATAAATTATATTTTAAAGTATGTTAAAATAGAAACCATTATTTTATGCTGTAATAATATTTTGCAAGATTACAATTTTTTTTCTGTATTTTCGATCAAATAAATGCAGCCTCGATGAGCAGAAGAGACTTCTTTAAA